AACGGGAAGGTTTTGCACCCATCACATCGCCTTGCTTCGTTATAAAGCTAAAGAACCAGTTAATATGTGATATGCCAGTCACATCCTTCAGGCAACCAAAATTTTATGTTTTTGCAAAAAATAAAAATAAATATGGGCTGTGGGTTCAAGGGATAGAGTTTGTACTTGGGAATAGCCACCAATATGCTAGCTGAATTGTGGGGGTATTAGAGATGGAATTAAACTGGCCATATCTCTTAAGACATCCCTTCTAGGGATTGAAGTAGATTGTGATGACATTTTATCTTTATTTAATTCAAATAACAATTTGGTTCGTTATTTATATCCCATTATCACGAATTGCAGATTCATGCTCTTACAATTCGAGCAAGTTAAGCTCAAGCACGTGTATTGCGTAGTCAACACTAGGTTGCAAGTTGGATAAACCTTGATTTTTTGAATCATGTACTTGTAAACTCTCTTTTGCTTTTGAGTAGGACATCGGAGGGGACAAGCACTCAATATAATTGTGTTTTCTGCAGTTTCGTCAAGTTATTATACATGTTCAAAGTTTTGATGTATAAATATATTTTAATATTGCACTTAATACATGTTAAATAATTTATTTATATCCACAATTTTTACTTTGAATACAATAATATAATTTTTTTTTTGAAATAATTTGCTTTATTACCCCAACACAAAGTTACAAGCAGAGAATAAGGCCAGTCAAACAGACGGGACCCTTACAGATCGAAGAGACGGAAAACCTAACTTATCTATCCTAACTTCCCCTCCAGCCAACTGCGGAAGGTTGTGTGACTGATCATAAACCTTAACAGGATCGTGCGAGTGCAAAAAACCTTCATTAGCTAGTATGTCAGTCACCTTGTTTGCTTCTCTAAAGTAATGAGAGAACAGCCCTAGATCGTCAACGATCTGCCATATTTGGGTTACTTCTTTACGAATGTGCCAAGGACATTGGAACCGCCGTTGCAAGATGCCCACTAAAACCAACGAGTTAGATTGTGCTCGAACCTGTGTGAACCCTTTCTGAACGCAGAGACGGAGACCCGTTAAAAGAGCCAAAACCTCAGCACGCAAACTAGTATTGACCCCTAGGAAAGCCGAATACCCCACCAATACCTGACCATCTGGATCCCGTAGGACTCCACCCCCACCACTAGCACCTGGATTGCCCTTGGAACACCCGTCTGTATTAAGTAACACGAACCCCCTACTTGCTACCTGCCACCGGCTAGCCTGCATTGCTTAAGGGCCTGTGTTGAGAAATTTAGTCAAAGAATTGACTAAAAGTCAATGCCATCGTCGACTTATGGAACTTACTCGCGACCACCTCAGAGACGTCCCAAAGGATGGCATGAAATACTACTATTATATCAAATAATATAAAAAATACAGCAATCGGATCGAACTATATCAAACTTCGACCGCACTGGGTCCTCTCTCAATCGGAAGGGTCTGTTCCCCGTGGTATTACTACTGTTAGGTTGGATCGTAATAGCTAGGTGACATATGTTGTACTTCTGTTTTATTTATTTATGCAATTCTATATTTACCCCAAAAAGGGAAAAAGAAAAGATAGTCAGATATATGGCATGAGCTCTTCCCAGTTCCCTCTCTTTTTTCTTCTGGCAATTTACAACATCTACACTTCTCCTTTAACCTATACTAGACTCCACCTCGTCGAACCTAATTAAATTTTATAAATTTATTCCAATATGCGTAATTGATGTACTATCCTGTGTTGATATATCAGGTTTCAACTCAATTAAAATTTAAGTTCCAGTTCTCTGAGCCAATATCAAAGTGTGTATAAAAATAACAAAAACATTTATATTTTCACCGAGGGCTCCAAACTCAATTTTATCTGTCTAACTATAATGAAACGGATCTAGTCAACACGAATCTGTTTACATTGAAGATTTTTCTTTTTTTAAAGATTATCCATATTATTGTTTACATATATTCTTCGGATAATCTTTTTTAAATACTAATAGTGTATACACGAGAAGTCAGATGCATATCACATATACAAATTTAAAGTTTTAGTTCAAAAAATTGCACACACGTCAGCCAGCTCATATATAAACCGTTAAATAGATAATTTATATTTTTCAATCATCTTTTGTTTTCACACTTGTATACATTAGAAAAGAAAAGGGAGAAATCATACACGATGCTAGTGAGTGTAATGAGATGCCAAAGTTTCAGCCAACAGCTCCATGCTAGACAACGCATACAATTCTCATCTTTGTCTTAAATCCCAAATAATAAATTAAAACATTAGCGATTCTCATAACTGTTTATCGTAATTCAGATTCAGAAGATATTCATTTTCATCTTCATTGGTTCTACCTCCCTTCTTCTCCGACTACATACAGCTACTAGAATACAAAAAACAGTTAGCAATATTTGGAAGATGGTATCTCAAGGTAAAATTGGGCCATTTAGAACCTATGAATCGTCACATTTTTTCCATTAAAAACTAACACAAGAAATGTAAGTTTGACTGTAAATGTGTAAATTATCCGTATTAGTAATCTTTTCTCTTCCTTTCTTTTCGACTACTCCCAAGCAATATGAAAGAATCAAGAGATTTGCTGCAACTACAGGTGAGCATAAAATTAGTTAATCTTATTTTCAATCAAATTAAATAAATTTGGTCGATCAAATTCATGTATTTGATTTTGGTTTTAACCCAAAATCGATTTCATTTTTTTTATTATCTAGTTTTTGTATTGCTTTAACTTGCTATGGATACATGCATATATATACATTACACACAATTGAAGGAAAGTACTATAATGCAAGCTTCCATCATGATGCCATAGTTGGGCTTCCACAAATTCAGCTGGGAGCAGATTTCATGTGCCAACAGGCACTATTCGAGTTGTGTCAAACATTTGTTACACATCTAATTTGATGTTTAGGAATTTGGAAGTTATAAGTTATAACTACCTCATAGTTTTATTTCCCCTACCTATGAGGCATTGATGTTTACTTTTGACACCAATTGACTTTTTGAATTTAATATATCGCAATGATTCTTGTAGCACACAAAATATTTTGTAATGATCATTTTAGTACAAAAAAAAAAGAAAGAATATATATAGATATAAAATTAGAAAGAAGTATATAATTGTTATTTTTTTAATACCATTAGGTATTGTCGGTCGGGCTACCTCGCGAGACTTTAATGATTCGAAGCAAGCATAGCATAGTTGTCTTTGGGAATTTGCATGTGATGGGAAGAATGACTCTTGTATTTTGTATATCTGATCGAGCTGCTACACTATATTTTATTTTGGTAAATAAATTATTGGGTTAATTGCATTTGTCCTCCTAAAGTATGCAATTTTAGAACTCTATCAACTTTCTTTTTTTTTTTGAAGTGTAAATTAGAGGTTTCAAATTCAAGATCTTTCACGTGTACTCTCTCTCTTCGTACTATCTAATCCATCATTCCTCTGCAACACTTGGTCACCTGATAATTGTAATATCTAAAACTGTTAATTTCTCAATAAATAGTGCAATAACCTATTAATCGAGTAAATTTATCAAGTCTTTGACAAGTAAAAGTGTCATTAACCATGCGTTTGTGCCAATGTGTTTGCGAGAGAGAGAGAGGGGTGCATTGTTTATGAATCTTCCAAATTCCCCTTTCAGAATAATGACCTAACTATAATTTATTTTCTCGCTTAATATCTCAAAGTTTGTGTTTTCTATAAAGAAATAATAATCTAATTTGTAGAGTAACCATAAAATAGTGATTAAGTGGGTACTCTGAAAAGAGCAATATGCTTAATTCACAAAAGTATGGTTACTTATTGTCTTTAACTCATAAGAGGTGCCAAATATTCAGTGATGTTCAAGTTGCCAAAAAAAAAAGTCCTTTGAAGAAGGGCAAGAAAGAAAAAGTACAAGAAATAATGGGAAAAATTTGAAAGAAAGGAGAATAGAAATGTCAAGATATTTCTTTATGAAGCTCAGGGGGAGTCTATTGACACAAAAAAAATAATGGGGGCCATTTTAGAAACAGGGGTGATACCAGAAGGGGTTTAGAGTAATCACCTTTTTGTCTCTTTGTCCAACTCAGCGACTACCTCATCTGTCAACTTATCCAATTAAATATTTCATTAAATCAAACTCTGTTGTTTTTAAATTTTGAGAGATCATTAGATTAATTATCACGCAAACAATTATGACTTAAAAAAATATGGTTAATCATACTTAATTCCCTTAAGGCATCTCCAATTTTTCACTTTATCCCTAACTTTTTTGTTGTCTCACTTTGTTCCCCATTAGATAAAATTACCCCTCTATTATCCTAAATTCTTTTTTTTCCTCTCTCTTTGGTATTTTTTTTTTCTTTCCCCTCTTTCTCTCCTTTACTTTCTTTGTCTCTTTCTTCTTTCTTTCCTTCTTGCTCTTTCCCACAAGAAACTTCATCTCAATGATTAAAGCTAAAAAAAAGGAATTGCAAATATCTATTTTCTCCTCAAATGGTCATTAAATATTCAAACCTCTTCCCAAAATAGCAATTTTTGACTTTTTAATTCTTTTGCCTTTTCCCCTTCCTATCATAATTTCTCATTTTATTTAAAAAAAAAATCACAAGATGAATTTGTGACTTGATGAATGATCATGAATTACAATTTGTGACACATGGTATTGTATAAAAAATTGAGATTAACATTTGATGTCTTTCGAAGCTTCACCTATATACTGGATTTTAAACTCCAGTTAAAGTTTTATGTTGAGATAAAAAAGTTTTATAGTAAGAAGGATGAAAGAGAGAAGAAAAAAGAAAGAGAAAAAAAATAAAATAGAAAAGAAGAATAAATGAAAAGTCAAACTAATTGAAGAATAATTTTATCCTACAAGGGATTAAATGACAAAAATCAGAAACAGGACGGGGGGATTAATTATAATTAACCCCTTAAAATGAGATGCCAACCCCTGCCAGCATTTCTAGCACTATGACGTAATACGATTCTCGTCTTTGTCTCGAATTCCTATCCAATCCCAATAATTTACTTCTTTATTTCTTCAGAGTTTTATTAAAGTAATAAACTCAGATTCCACAGATATTCATTTTCATCTTCATCCACCGCCTTATTACTATATAAGAAAAGAAACCCGAAACAGCGAAGAATACCAAGCTAACGAGAAAAAAAAAGGGAAAGCTTCAATTCCTTCTTGGATATGGCGTCTCTCAGCGGCTTGACTCAGCAAATCAGCAACAGGAACTCGGTGGTCGAGTTACCGATGACTCATCGGCCACAGCTGCATAATTCGATCAAGAAGAGCTGCAGAGTTGGGTTAGGGGTCATGGCTTCTGAGAACAATACTAGCACTTCTGAACTGGATCTTAGTGTAACTGTAAACGGGTTGAAAATGCCCAACCCCTTTGTTATTGGGTCTGGTCCGCCTGGAACTAATCTTGCCGTTATGAGGAAAGCTTTTGATGAAGGCTGGGGAGCTGTCATCGCCAAAACGGTAACTTTTTCTATTTTTCTTGAATATAAGTTCTGTCTTCTTATGCCTGTATTCTTTTAATTTCTTCTCCTTTTCAATCAGCATTTTTTGTTCTTAAATATGATAAAAAAAGATGTAATTTTGTAGCTTCTTAATTGATAGTTTTTTATTTGAAAAGGACTAACTGAAATAGTAAAATATGGTTTTAAGCGGGCTTGATCCAGTTCATCACTCCAATGGTGTTCGAGCTGAACTTGAGATGGAGGTTGTACTTATGATCCAGACAAAAACGAAGAATTTATGGTTAGTTGGAGATAAGGTTCCATAGAATTTCAAGAAGCCACGTAGAAAGTTCACGGCCCTTCAACTACATTATCAAACTATGGTTTGATTCATGTTCAGAAAATAAGATAAGAAAGAAGGCTGAAGAACACAATTTTCTTTTCATATACGGTAGAGTTTTAGTTGGACAAGCATGAAATTATTAGTTTTAGCTAAATTAGGTTTGTTCATGTAAAATGTTTGATTGCTGCGGAATCTTCTTCTGATAATAGTTTACTATCATTGATTAGTTCTGCACCCAGTAAGAGAAAGATTCATGAAATCAGACGTATATATTTGATTTACTGGTGATGTTCAGAATAAAACTTTGTTTGTGACAATGTGCCCTAGGTATCACTGGATGCTGCAAAAGTTATAAACGTGACTCCCAGGTATGCCAAATTGCGAGCAGGAGCAAATGGCTCAACCAGAGGAGAGATCATTGGTTGGGAAAACATTGAACTTATAAGTGATCGGCCTCTTGAAACAATGTTAAGCGAATTTAAACAGTTAAAAAAAGAGTACCCAGATAGGATCCTTATTGCTTCAATTATGGAAGAGTATGACAAAGCTGCCTGGCACGAACTTATTGATCGTGTTGAGCAAACTGGAGTTGTAAGTGAACGATCTTGTGTGCAGTGCACAAATGTGTTTAGAATCTAATACAAATATGTTCTCTTGTGTTATATTTGATAATCTGCATCTTGACAATGTGGTACAGGATGCTATTGAAATTAATTTTTCATGCCCCCATGGTATGCCAGAGCGGAAAATGGGTGCTGCAGTTGGGCAAGATTGTGCACTGTTGGAGGAGGTATGTGGATGGATTAATGAGAAAGCCACAGTTCCTGTTTGGGCAAAGATGACGCCAAACATCACTGATATAACTCAGGTAGCTTATTCTCTTTTTGCTCTTGGGTACTGTATTGAAAATTTTGACCAAGTACAAGACAAGGATCTTGAACATAGGCACCGTATGGTTTATGCTCTATGCTGAAGCTTGAGAATTTATTAGGCCAGGAAATAGCTTCTGTATTATAGTATCAAAATCTGTTTTTGTTTTCACTTTCCTTTTTAGTTTTTGTTGCCAAATCTATCTGATAAACTAAGATAAAAAAGAAGTGTTTTCCCTTTGGTTGGATTTGGACATTCCATGGAGCATATTTTTGAAATAGAAGTGTATCTGAAAATGGATATTGCTTATGAAGCCTATTTATGTTTTTGGGTTCTGATTGATTTAGGTAAATTTCTTGATCTTTTCTCTTTTATATATAATCTTCCTGCTTTGCATTTCTTGTAGCCTGCAAGGGTTGCTCTAAGAACAGGATGTGAGGGAGTGTCAGCCATTAATACAATCATGAGTGTCATGGGAATCAATCTCGACACTTTACGTCCTGAGCCTTGTGTTGAAGGGTTAGTATTTGCCAATGAGCAACATTTGTGTGATGGGCTGACGTTTTACCCTCTTACACTTTCTTTGGATGTTTTGCTCTCAGATATTCAACTCCTGGAGGCTACTCTTCAAAGGCTGTCCATCCTATAGCCCTTGCGAAAGTAATGAGCATTGCGCAAATGATGAGGTCAGAATTTGGAGATAAAGATTGTTCACTTTCTGGTATAGGAGGTGTTGAAGCAGGTGGTGATGCTGCTGAGTTCATTCTTCTTGGAGCAGACACAGTTCAGGTCATATTAGTTGCAATTTCTTTCCCTAATAGAATATATGCTTGTATGAAGCTGCAGAAAAAATTGCTTTAACAGCATGCTGGTGAGAAGTTAGATAATGTGCCTTTGAAGCTTTGAGAAGTTTGATTTAAAGAAAAGGGACTGTTGTTGCATGTTTTGTTCAAGTTGTTCTGGGTAATCCTGTATCATGCCCTTCATATGTCCATATTGGAGTTCCTTTAGTCACCTATCTTGTTTGTTCATCTGTCTCGGGAATCATCATGGGAAATCTTGGGGCATACGTCTATTGCACTCATTTTAACTGTGGGACTTTCTTAATCATAACATTTGTTTGGTTATCAATATTTGTGTTTACCTGATGCAAATTTGAAGCTGATACAATAGAATAACGAGTATTAATTTATAAAAAGCTACTTAAAAGTCCTGGATCCCATTCATATAGTAAGCTTGTTTTGGCTATGAACAACATATTAAAGGACATGGAGTTTAAGTCTTCATGTGGAACTCAAAACTTGTGTATGCTTGTCTTGGAAATATTAATTGGAATGATACCTTATCTGTCTTTTGCCGTATATTGGAATTTATTGCAGGTCTGCACTGGGGTTATGATGCATGGATATGGTATTGTGAAGAAACTTTGCTCTGAGCTGAAGGATTTCATGAAAAAGCATAACTTTTCATCCATAGATGATTTCAAAGGGTATATTATGTCGTTAAGATGTACTTTCAATTGCCAGCAGAGTTGTTTTCTTGCTAAAATATTTCTAGGTACCATAATCTGTTTTTTTTTTTTTTTTTGGTCTTATGCCTATCCCCAGGTTGTCACTGGAGTATTTTACAACTCATACGGATTTGGTAAAAAGACAGCAAGAAGCAATTCGGCAGAGGAAAGCTATCAGAAAAGGTTTAGCATCTGACAAGGACTGGACAGGAGATGGTTTTGTACAAGAAACTGAAAGCATGGTTTCCAATTAAGTGCAACACCAAAGTGCAACTCTGTAACATGTAAAAAAGATGGATATGCCTCTGATTGGGATGTTGGGGGATTCTCTAAAAGTTTTTCAAAACTCAGTTCTAGCTCAATTGTAAATGTTGATGGACTTTGTTTCTTTCTTCTTTGTAGCACTTCCTCAATAAAATGCTGAATAAGTAACCATGGATTCTCATAGCATGTTTTTGCATTCTCATAGGCATATTTTTCGCTTCAAAAGCACTCGATTCTTCGAGTTTTTGAGGTTGATACCATGTCTATTTCCTCATAAATGATCGAGGTTTGTTTGGATTGCGATTTATTTGCCAAAATATATTTGCTTACATCATCATTACAATTTTCAACACACATTTTTATCTTTCCAATTACTTTTTTATCTCACATACATCACATCACAAAAAGTGCTACAGTAAAAATATTTCTAATAATTCACAACGCTATTTTTAAGCGAGACTGTAAATTTAAGATGTAAGGCAGCTAAGATATGACTATATGAGATTTTGATGTTGGGGATAGACTCACAAAGTCTCAATTCTTGAGACGTTCAATACATCTAAAGTACTCCATTTTAGAGCTTTTTTATTTTGAGGTTGGTGGCGTATCTATGTCCTTGTAAATGATGGTAACACCCGTTTGGATTCCCAAGGCAGGTGTATCAATTGAGTTGAACAGGAAGGGTTAGCTAGCCATTGGTATGGGTTCAAACCGGTCTAGGACATCATAAGGAAGCATAGAAGCACTATGCTTCGTTGTTCTTAAAAAATTTATTTATTTGGAATGGTGATTCATCCGCTAATCCCATATAGGGCTAAAAAGAGTTAAATAAGGGTTAGCTAATAAAGTAGTTAAGACACATGGAGAAGAACTGCTGGTTAAAATTTTATTCATCAACAATCATTCAAAATTGTACATGATTTATTAATTATGGGCTAATTCTATTAACTTTCATTAGAGTTTGCTGTGTTAAACTTGAAATTTTGCTTAAATAATTTTAAAGTTACTTGAAAAGTTTGTTTAAACTTGACTCAAATAATATGTAAGCAAAGTTCTAAAAAGTTTTATCATTATACTTATGTTTTGTTTATTGATTATATTTGTCTTATTGTTAAAATTGCTTAAGCATCAAACTGTTTTTTAATATTTTACTTTATGTTTATATTTTGGCTGGTCTTTTTTTTTTTGGGTGCATAGACTATCTAAGAGCTCCTAAATTGTTCTAAGCGTCTCAAATTATTTTTTCATCTATCTCAAATTGGTTCTTCATCTATTCCAAGTTTCAAATTAACCTATCAATAATAAAAAAAAGTGATCAAAATTTAATCTTTCAGTTCATCACTGCCATTAAAACTAATGGACTAAGGGCAAAATTTGATGAATTTAACAGTGAACATAGATTGAAGGATCAAAATTTGATTAGCTTACTTTCTAGTGATAGTGGACCAATTTGAGATTTAAAATAGATGAGAGGCCAATTTGAGATAATTAGAATAATTTAAGGGCTTCCTAGGTAGTTTACGCATCTTTACATTTTGGTAGGAGGTCCTATATTTCGTCGAAATTACACGAAAACCCATTTGACGCATCTCCTGGTCAAACCTCATACTAGAGTTCAAAAACCCTAAAACCTCCTCTTTATCTCTACTTCTCTCAGTCTTCTCTCCGCAACAGAGAAATGGCCGTCGGGTACTCTTTCTGATCTCTTTCTCTCTCACACATTCACGCACTCAACCACTCTATTAAACACTTTGACATTGATAATAATGGTTTCCGTGTCTCAAATTTTTTCTTTTAATTCTTATAGTTTTTGATACTGTTTTTCCAGGAAGAACAAGAGGATTTCCAAAGGCAAAAAGGGTGGAAAGAAGAAGGCGTAAGCATTTTATTATTTCTTATTTCTTTATATATATATGATGGGTAGATGGATATAAAGTTTTTCTTTTTCTCTTTTAATTGATGTTTTTGGTGGTTATCTAGCTGATATGATAAGTTTTTGCAATATTTGATGTGATCTGTGAACGGCCAATAAGTGGTATGGCTAGTTTTATTGTGACTTGTTGTTGAAGAAATTGAGATAAATTTGGTTGATTTGGCTGGTTGGTTGGGCAGGGCTGATCCATTTGCTAAGAAGGATTGGTATGATATAAAGGCACCGTCTGTTTTTGAGGTTCGAAATGTCGGAAAGACTCTTGTTTCCAGAACTCAGGGCACTAAGGTTAGAACTCCCCTCTGCTTTATCTCACTTAGTTTGCAATGTTTTTGCTTTTTCCTTGTGTTGTTTGCAGGTATTAATTCGTTTATTTATTTATTTTTTATATTTGATCCTGTTGATGCATGTGATTGCTCTTTTTTACGTCTTGTATGGATGAAAGAAGAATATTAGAAAAAGTTGGATTTGTTTGTTATAAAAGGACTTGAAGACGTGCTGTATTTGTTTAAAAGCGGGAAGTAATTAAACAAGGAAAAAAGTGTTAACGAGGTCCTGGTTATCAAAAAGCATTCAACGACATTCTAGAGTCGTAAAAAGTGATGAAGTCTGTAAGGAATCTTTCTCCTGTGGGGTTGGGGGATTGTAGGATGGCTTGTTTGGCGGGTTAAGATTCAGTGAAGCCAGAAAATGCCATTAGTCGTGTTTGCAAGAAATGGCAAGGAAAGTATTGGGATACATACGATTATTATACAGCCTAATAGCATTTTTGTGTTGTCTCCATAAGAAAATTAAAATTGTTGCTTATTCAGAATGAACTGGAGATGTTGTGGTTATCGAGATCTAAATGACTTGACAATTTGATAGCTGCACGGTAGTGGGTATTCAGTATCAACCTGTTTCCTCTAATTGATGAACTACTTTTGTAGGGAAAAATAATTTTTTGTTGTGATCTTGTGGATGATGGGAAATACGGATCATACTTTCTCTCGCCTCCCTTTTCTGTTTTTATTGGTAGTCTCAGATGCCACTATTTTATGTTATTTGCAGAATTTGGCCATTTCTTATCTGTGGCTGTTGATACGTTTGCAGTTTAGAACACAGTATTCAAGTTTTACCAAGTTGTTGCATGCTAGGACATCTTGTGTTCCAGCTGTAGTCCCTTTAAGTTAGGCATGTTGTTGATTGTATACAAATTGTTATTTATGGTAATCAAAATAAGCAGGGTGCTTTGTGCATGTGTGATTTCGACTTAATAAACTTGAACCCTAGTAACTTTGTCATCTGCCCCTTTCAGGAATTACATGACAAAGAGTTTTTCATCACTTGCGATTTTTGCTTGTTTAATAAGCATTTTATAGTTTATTGATTTTCATTGTTGCTCCTTGAATTTATCTTTCCTGTTTGGGCTGTAATGTGAATTTGTGCTATGTCTGGCTCCTGTTTATGTCTAGACATGCTCAGTAGCTGCTGATGCATTTGAATTTGATGATTTGTTCATTTCCTTAGATTGCTTCTGAAGGGCTAAAGCATAGAGTATTTGAGGTAAGCTTGGCTGATCTTCAGAAGGATGAGGATCATGCATTCAAGAAGATCCGTTTGAGGGCAGAAGATGTGCAAGGCAAAAATGTCCTCACAAATTTCTGGGTGGGTTAGGTACTTAATGGTGCAACATCTTTTTGGAACTTGGATGGTATTTTGCTCACTTCAGGTCTGTTTTTAATTTCCAGGGAATGAATTTTACAACAGACAAAGTCAGGTCCCTGGTTCGTAAGTGGCAGACATTGATTGAGGCTCATGTGGATGTCAAGACAACAGACAATTACACCCTTAGGATGTTTTGCATTGGATTTACAAAGAAGCGTGCAAACCAACAGAAGAGGACCTGTTATGCTCAGTCAAGTCAGATCCGTCAGGTTTGTTTAGGATTTTTGGTAACTCGCAAGCTCTAAGTTTGATACCGTGCTTTATATCTAACTTGGTCTGCTTAATAGTTCCTTGAACAGTGCAACACACAACAACAACACCCCCCCCCCCCACAAAAAAAAAACAACCCAAGGTGCTCCCCTGATATCGGTTTTTTTTCCACCTTAGATTCGGAAGAAAATGGTTGAGATCATGAGAAACCAAGCAAGTTCCTGTGATTTGAAGGAGCTGGTTGCCAAAATCATCCCGGAGTCAATCGGCAGAGAGATAGAGAAGTCAACTACAAGCATCTTCCCTTTGCAAAATGTTTACATTCGCAAAGTGAAGATCCTCAAGGCACCCAAATTTGATCTGGGCAAGTTGATGGAGGTAACTTCACTCCCTCTACATTGACCTTTTTGCTTCAAATTGATTATTGTTTGATTGAGAAGAACTTTTTGGTGGTACTCTGGTGCATAAAGATGATTGCCATGTGCATTTGCCCAAGAGCTTTTGCGTTAGTAGTGAATTATTTTTGTGTTATGGAAGGAAATGCTTCAGTGATTTGGTATTTGATGCGATCTCTGCTTTCAGGTTCATGGTGACTATTCAGAGGATGTTGGCGTGAAGTTGGATAGGCCAGCTGAGGAAACAGTAGTAGAGGGAGAAACTGAAGTTGTTGGTTCGTAATGTCTTCAGTATTATGGTTAATTACTAGATGAATTTATGTCAATCCTTGAAACCAGATTTTGGTTGTTTAATTTAATTAAAGTTTTGCCTTATGTTTGTTGACATAACGGGTTGTCTGATTGTGAAAACCTAAAAGGATTTTATTGCTGATTTATCAAATATAGATTCATATATCATGGCCACCTCTCTCTCTCTCTCTCTCTCTCTCACTGCGGCACACAAACAGTAATTCTCTCGGACTGAGCATGTATATACAAATACAAATAGTTAGAACCAAAAGCAAATACAAACAGTTGAACTTAATGCGAGAGAAAGATTTTGAATTATTTGCTGGTATATGTTGTGACAATGATTCAACTTTTAGGATGAGTCATGTATACAAAGGAGGGGAAGGTTTTTGCTATTGGTATTCTCAACAGTCAAATGGTTTATCATATTGTATAAACCGTACCAACCTCCAAAAGAGCAGCATGTGGAATGTTCAGGGCAACCGGAGGCTCCCTAGCATTTTTGTCAAGAAATACATATACCATGATGAGCAATTTCTTCAACAAATTTGAGCCCCTTCGCAATGACAAGTGGGATTGACCCAAGAAATAGGCAGTGCCACTTTCCCTTGCATCAACGAGTTCTTGTAGCTCCTTCCTTACTGAAACACTCA